ACTGTATAGTACAATGTTGATGAGATCATTATCTGTTGTTTCTTCCAAACTGAAAAAACTTGCGAACCTATAAAATTATTCATTTTATTTATTTAAGAAAAATCATTAAAAATTTATTTAGAGAACTAAAACAGAGGCAGTAAATTTGACGAAACAAAAATATGGAGTACTTTGAAATTCATCATTATGATAAACATAGTATGCTGTAAGAAGAAATTTTTAATTTAATTAATAAATAAAATACTTATTGGTCTTAATAAATTGCAGTCATTCATCATTTAAAATTAGTATAAGCAAATAATTAAAGACATCACACGTTATCTTGTAAAAATGTTGTTAAAAGGTTTTCAAAAAATTAACAAAGTAGCAATATCGAAAGTGAGGAACAGATCGTCAGGTGAAAAATATTTAAAAAGATTTTTACGTCCGCAGAAGCACTTTATGCTGTGAAAATTAACTATGCGGTTAGAGGCAAGAAAAGCGGTCTGAACTTCAGCACTTTCAAAGTACTGCAGCAAAAAAGTGCTTACTCAGCGGAAGGCATCAATAAAATTTTTACATAAAATAGTCTTCCAAATATCAAAACAACTGAAACATGCTGTGAGTTCCCAGCGGGGTCGGTGAAGTTTTAAAGGTGATCGGGTGATGATCAAGGGATCGATAGCCGAATATGCACCAGCAACTGAGCATCATTATTAAGATTCCACTAATTACAAAAATTATTAAAAAATAGATAATCAGTTGTTTAATGATATAAAGCTGTATGTCGTAACAAGGAAGAAATCCTAATCATAAGGGAAAACTGCACTAAATTATTTAATATATTTTTTAAATCGACACTGTTCTTTTTTAAAATACATAACATTTTTATCCAATAAGTGCAATATAACAAAGTAAAACGCAGGAACATAAGAAAACCGAACTAAAAAAATACGAAGAACGCAAAACTAATTAAAAGATAGCAAAATCTATGCCTATACTTTCCTCCACATTGAATTTTAAAAGTAATCGGAAATAAAAGTTATTACCGAAAGAACATTATTGACTTTTCCCTTTTCTTACCCGTTACCGAGCAGTTAAAGACTGCTGAATGCTGATAATTCGTTCCGCGTTCGAACCCGGATGAACGAGTTGGCAGCATGGTTGGTTATCGAGGTTTTTCAAATGTGTACCGTGGATATGAGCAATTCCTTTAGAAAGCCTTCTACGAAGGTGTTCCTTCGCCTTAAGCAGATAGCCCTTCTGTTCTTTGCCGTATTCAAACCTAGTGGAAGCAAGCTTTAGTCAAGTCAATAATTTAATATCGAAAACAAGCAGCAGGTTCAAATTTTTGAACGAAGTGATTTAAGAACTAAGTTAAGCAATTTTATGGAAAATATTTCTTAAAAAGATTAAATACATCAAGTGCAGCCATGACATAAATTAAAATCAATGTTTGTGCAATTAGAATCTGTGATTTTGTTTTTGAAAATTTCTTTATATTTGTAAAATTAAAAATAGTAATAGCACAAAAACATAAAAATAATAAGCTTTTTTTAAAACCTTTTTTTTTTTTTTTTTGATGATATGTTGCTGTGGGCAATCTGCCTTATCTGATCTCTGAATTAAAACAAGCCCATCATGAGGCTTGAGCACTAAATTGACGGTATGACTTTGCTCACTTCCGCTCCAATTTTGAAAGAAAGTATCGTGGAGGACGGGTCCCAGGGCCACCCGTCCTCTTTCCCCACCACGAAATCATTCGACAGACTTAAGGCTTGCCGTATATTTTGAGCACACCCATGCCACATAAGGAATTACTATTTAAAAACAGCCAAGGCGAAGAAAACTGTTTTCTTAGAAAGAATCCATGCAATGAAAGGGTTAGGAATCCCTGGTATATACAGATGAATATACTATCTTTATGTCAAATGCGTATTTATTCCAACACAAATGGAAGACTTTACTATTACTTTATCGTATTTTCTGTAATATATATGTGGTAATTCGCTCCTATAACTCGTCCGCCTTTTCCTAAATCTGGCAACAACGACAGCAGCGAGATACTTCTTCAAGCTGCGTGAGGAAATGGACAGATCTGCATTCCGATGATGTGAGAACGTGGCGTTGGATGGAGCTGAACCATGTCGCTCGAGAACATTGATTGACGATGTGGTTCTGTTTCATGATGAAGAACTTTTTATCTTACTTCCTTTCACACTGTAAATACCATAATCATGTTTATTCTTTCATCATTAAATACCCTTAAAATGCTACTGCCTTCCTCTATTTTAATTCTAACCTCAGCCCACATGGGGGCTCGGCCCCACGAACTCTTTCGACTCCTTGAACTAAAATCTGTTCTTCTCTTCAGCCTTTTAAATCCCCTAGACTACCATATAACATATCGAATATACCTATAAATGATGTACTACTATGGAATAATATCGCAAGATCCCAGTTGTTGTGATTCGTCAGCGCGTAAGTAGAGCTAATTTTATTTCATGAAGTAATAATGCTAATGAGGAAGTAATATTCTTTCAAATTATTATGAATATTTGATGACGCTTTTTTATGAAGTTTATTTGATGAAGCGAAAGGCATTTGATGTTTGATGAAAATTCATTTTATTTTCGAATGATTATTACTTTGAAGAATTCACACTTCCGTTTTCGAATTTGATGTTGATGATAATTAATTAAACAGTTTTGATGAAGTTTAATTGAATAAACTAAAGGTATTTCATTTTGATGGAAATACATTACTGACTATTTACAGAATTGTGATATATTAAAAAAAGTTACTTTGAAGAATTACTTTCGTTTTCGAATTTGGTGCATAAATTTCTTATTTCTTGTGATGCCTATATTTTACAAGGACTGTACAATATTTTTTTAAGTTAAAATTTTGATATCATATTTTAACGTGAAATTCTATTTTCCATTCTTAACATAGTCTTTCTTATATGAAGATTTGTTTGATGATATATTTTACCATTTGTTTGAATCATATGTTCACGATTTCATTTATGATTTTTGAGTGTTTTAACATCATAGTTATTGTGTAATATACTAAGAAGAATTAATACTATTTTGAAGAATAATAAGAAAAATTAAGAATATATTTTGGTATATTAATTTCTGAAACCAGATAAATAATATTTGATGAAATCGAAAACATACATATTTTGTGGAATTTCATATTTGGTAAAAAGAAAACTGATAAATAATGGCTACACTTAACGATTATCCCAACATTGCACAGTCATTAAACACTGCCGTACCAAGCATATCAAGCTTTTAGATCGTTTAGTTTTTGGCTCAGATGGTGATCGGCAGAATCGTGCTAGGTTACGCAATTTTTCTGGTTTTCCCAAACCATTTAATTTTGAAGAAACGAAACAAAAAATTATAAAAGAATTTTCTCTTGCGGAATTAATTGCCATATGTAACTTACTATATTTAGAATTTTCCACCGATATTGAAAACTGTGCTAACAATATTCTTACGAATCTAGCTGATGTATCGTTATTAAAATCAGATTCCGCTGACTACAGCGACCTTGAAGAAGACGCTTTGGTGCAAAGTTCACCCTCGACGCATAGCGTCGCCCAAAAGAACATTAATCACGCTTCAGATGACTCTTTATGTAAACAAATGGAGGCAAAAATCTCTCTTGAAAGTGCGCCTGCAAATTTATTGGTATCAACTAACCCGCAAACACAGACTGTTCCGTTTCAATGTTTTGGCTTAAAGGACATTGTTGATTTGATCAAACCCTTTTCCTCTCGGGATAATTACAGCGTTGAAATTTTATTTCTGACATAGAAGATATTTTTAATCTCTATGAAATCACGAATCCTGTACACCAAGTAATTTTTTTTGTTAAAAAATGTCTTACAGGTCCAGCTTTAACATTAATTAGATCAATTCGTGGAATTACTAATTGGGAACAATTAAAACACCATTTATTAGATGAATTTTCGGAAAAAATTAATAGCCTTCAATTACATAAAATAATGGAATCTCGTCACATGAAAACATCTGAAACCTTACAAGAATATTTTTTAGCTATGAGAGACCTCGCACACAAAGGTTCTATGGATGATTCTTCTTTGATTGAGTATGTTATAAATGGTATTCCTGATTCATCAAACAATAAAATAATTTTATACGGTTGTAAATCCATTCCTGAATTTAAAGAAAAACTGAAGATTTATGAAAAACTCTTTAACAATTCAAAACATTTGAAGCAAAATACTCCAAAGAAATTTACAAATTCCTTTCCCAATGCTAAAATTGATGCTAAACGTACATCAGACACTCAACCAGTATGTTATTCTTGTGGTTTGAAAGGCTACAAAAGCAATACTTGTCCTAATAAATCTAATGGCAAATTATGTTATGGCTGCCAAAATTATGGTCACGTTCATTCCAACTGTCCCAAACGTTCTGGTAGTTCTACCACGGAATCTGCTCCTAATTGTTCTACATCTGATAGTACTGTAAATGCACTTTCTACTCAAAATTTTTCTAAACATCCGATGCATGTTGATATTCAACTTAAAGGAACTCAGTTAACTGCTCTCTATGACACTGGATCACAAGCAACACTTATTACGGAGAAAACATACCGCAAAATTGGTTCTTCCACCATTACATCCTTCCAGAATTACATTCTCAGGACTTGGCCGAGACACAGTTCAAAGTATTGGATTCTTTCAGGACTACATTCAAATTGAAAACACTATTTTACCTGCTAAAATCCATGTAGTAAAAAACTATATGATTCCTCTTGATGCCATTATTGGAATAGACTTTTTGCAACAAACTCGATTTACATTTGATAAAGATGGTATTCATTTATGCAACAATAATAATGATCAAATTTTTGTTAATGTTGCTAATGTTACTCATGATCACACATTTCCACCTGATCTTTCACACATCTCAAAATCGGAAATTTTCCAAGAAGTTCAACATATCATTACTCCTCACAACCCACACGAAGTTAACACTGCTATGGAAGATTTTCAGAAAATAACAGAAAATGAAAATCAGTTGAAGAAAACAAGTAAGGAAAATAATGATGATGCACATGACGATTTAGAATTGGATTTAGATGATGACAATTTGGATTTGGATGATCACGATGACAAAGATGATGCTGATACCAATCATGGAGCTCATGACGATGATGTTGATGAAGATGGTGATGACGCACGACGACATGAATCAAGATCATGATATTGATGATGACGACAATCATAACGCTAATGGTGCTGATGATGATGATGGCACTCATGAAGCTAATGAAGATGATGATAATGATGTTGATCAAGATGACGTTGCTGTTGTTGATGAAGATCATGTCAATGAAGATGATGTTGATGACAACGAAGATGATGATGACAGTCATGAAGCTAATGATGATGATGATGTCGATAATGATCCAAACGTGCAGAATACTGAAGAAACTGTGAAAAATAAACTGAATCAATTTGAACAAGCATGTGCTGATCAAGCAAACGAGAAAACGCCTGCTAAATGTGCAGAAACTCCCAAAGAACAGAAAAATAATCTAAGGAAACAACTTGTTTCTGACATTCCAGTTGAAGCTTTTGAGGCAACAAAGAATGCTGAAATATTTGGAAGAAAAATTACAATTTCATACACTTTATCTGCTTCACGCCCAAAGAAACGCAAGAAAAGAGCTTGGAAGTAGAAACGAAGAAAATTTAAACAAACTTCAAAGACTGTTAACGAATATTCTTTGATATCGCCAAGAGATGGCGTTAGGAGTCCATCTATTGGCTTACTTAACCTTTCCCCTTCTGAACATGTGACTTGAAAACATATGCGTCTTCTTGAAGGTAGAATTTCGATGCACTACGCAATATAATTCGATTTAGATTTTAGCTGGAACTATTCAGTTTCTTGCCTTTTGAGCATTAAATATTCGATTCAGGCATTTTAGCCTACATTGTATATATGTAAATATTAAGTTTAATTAAAATTTATGGAAAACCCTCCAGGCCATGCATCTCGTCTTTTGGATTATGAGTGATTCGACTTTGATCTAGAACTTTCGTTACATAATGGTGCATCGGCTCCAGAAAAGAATCTGATTAATTTGAAAATTTGTGTTTTTCGCCTTTGGATTAGCTTTGTAAGCGAAGACTTCTCACGGTAAGTCTCCTTTGATAATTTATTAAAATGGAACAGAAGACACTAATTAAGAATCGAGCACATATACGTGCTTCTGTAACTCAAATTATTAAAAATGTAGATGAGTATTTAAAAGAAGAAAATCAAGAAGAGTTAGAAAATTGTTTGGAATTGTTAAATAGTAAAGAAACGGAACTACATGATTTAAATGAAAAAATACAAAATTTGATTGAAGATGAATCAAAATTAGATTCAGATATTAACACTTCTATGGAATATAACGATAAAATAATAATAGCGAAGTCTAAAATCAACCGTTATTTAAGGAAATACAATACTCAAAATATCAACACGAATTTAAATAATTCATCTACAGAAGTTGAAACCAAAAGACAGATTGAAGGCAATGTGAAATTGCCCAAACTGTTAATTCACAAATTTTCCGGAGATTATAACGATTGGATGAATTTTTGGAATTCATTCAAGGTCACTATTCATGACAATGTTACACTTTCGAAGATAGAAAAATTTAATTATTTGAGAAATTTATTTATGTGGAAACGCAGCATCAGCCATAGAAGGTCTCTCAATCTCAGAGGCTAATTATGACTCTGCTATAGACATTCTTAAAAAATAGATTCGGTCAAAGTGACCTTATTATCAATACACACATTTCTAATCTCTTAAATTTAAATCCCGTTCAAAGTTCAAAGTTCAAGTGAAGTGGCAAAATTGCGAAAACTTTATGATACAATTAACGTTCAAGTCAGAAGCCTTTTAGCATTCGGTGTGAAACCAGAAACATATTCCAACATGTTTATTCCAATTTTGATGAAAATTGTCCCGAACGATATAACTTTAGAATTTCATCGTACAAATACTGAAAATCCTTCAACCTATGATTTAAACAAATTTCTAGACTTTCTCCGATTAGAAATAGAATCGCGAGAAAAGATTAATTCGTTATCCTTTCCACGCAAGTCAAACCCGGAAATGAAAGGTATTAACAGATATCCACCGACGCCGAAACATAAACAAACTGTCACCACACATGAATTTATGGCAGCCGCGTCATCAAATCGAAACTGCATTTTTTGTTTTCAAAACCATGACTCAGAGTCCTGTTTATGCCTTACAGTTAATGAGAAGAGAGATATTTTGAAAAAAACAAGCGCGTTGTTTTCTTTGCCTTGGCCCCTAAACACAAAATCTCACACAGTGCCGGCAACGCCAAACTAAAGTTTGTAAAATTTGCAAAGGTAAACATTCAGAAGCCATATGTTTTAAATCCAGTTCGATCGATAGTTAAAAATACACCAAGTGATAAAAAGGATAGTATATCAATTTCGAAAAATGATACACAAACTAAGGAACAGAAAGAAGAAATTGTTTCGGCCGTTTCACATAATGCAAATAATACAATTCTTTTACAGACTTGCACGATAAAAGTTAAAACAGCTAAGGAAAAGGTGTTTGCCAGACTTCTCTTGGATAGTGGAAGTATGAAAAGTTTTTGTGCTCGCGAGTTAGCGGACAGATTAAACCTCGAAGTCATAAGAAAAGAAAAATTGACTGTCTACACTTTTGGGAATACTTCTCCCATCCAAAAAATTATTATGACGTAGTTAAATTAACTTTAGAACATAGAAGTTCTCCCGATTCTAGAATAGAAGTTGAATTATTAGTAACTGATCATATATCAGGTACAGATATTCCACCTCCTAAATCAGAAGAAATTAAGCAAAACAGACAATTAAAAAATTTGCTGCTCGCAGATTTTCCCGATTGTAAAAAACCCATTGCCATTCTAATTGGTGCAGATTATTATTACAACATAGTAATGGGACACACGTTAAATACTTAAGCAAAAATCTTGTTGCAGTGGAAACTATTTTCGGCTGGTGCCTACATGGACGAAAAGGTGATGATGATGTCTCTTTAGCTTTCAATGTAGTTGTAGGGGAAGATTTGATTTCCAAACAAATAACAAAATTTTGGGACTTGGAAAACTCAGGACTTATTGATAAGAGGGAAAACTTCGATTCAACTGAAAATGAAGTCGTCGAATATTTCGAATCAAATATAACATATGAAAATTCTCGCTATAAAGTTAGATTGCCTTGGAAACATGACACATCAAATCTAAATAATAATAGGGAAATCGCAGAACAAAGATTTCATCGACTTAGAAAACGATTTAAAAAAGATCCTAATCTATTTTCCGAATACAGGAACGTATTAAGAGATCAGTTAAAACAAAATATTATCGAACCAGTTTCAGAAATTTCAAATGAAGAGGATGTCGTGTTTTACTTGCCACATAGGGAAGTTATACGCGAGGATCGAGCTACAAGTAAATTACGTATTGTTTATGATGCATCATCGCATGCCCCAGGATCCATTTCTTTAAATGACTGTCTACATGTTGGGCCAAATTTATACCCTGAAATATTCGAAATATTGTTAAGATTTCGGTATAATCTAATAGCCTTCACCGCAGATATAAAACAAGCCTTTTTACAGATTCTCATACATGAAAAAGATCGAGACGCAACCAGGTTTCTGTTTTCCGATTTCCCTAATGATGAAATGAAACCATTTCTCCTGACATATATAGGTTCACTAGAGTTTTATTCGGAATAAATAGTAGTCCATTTCTATTAGCCGCTACCATTAAACATCATCTGAAAAAATATAATAAACTTTATCCTACAACGGTTAACTTTTTGAATGAGAACGTATATGTAGATGATGTGATTGGAAGCCAACCAACGATCAATGAAGCATTAACTACGAGTCTAGAATCGGTCCAAATATTTAAGGAAGCAAGCATGCAGCTTCACAAATGGCATAGTAACTCGAGACAATTACATGAATTGTGGGTAAAAAAGGGTATCGTTCCAGATGAAAATCCTGAAGATTTTAATAGAGAAAATTTCCCATTTAAAGTCTTAGGTATGGCATGGGATAATTCAAAGGACTTACTGTATTTTGATGTTCGGAACTTATTGTCTTTCACATCTAAACCAATAGAAACAAAACGATTTCTTCTACAAGTGTTGGGTCGGATATTCGATCCGATTGGAATTTTAGGACCTTTCACTGTTAGAATAAAGTGCTTAATACAGAAGATTTGGTTGTCACAAATAGATTGGGATGAACCGTTACCTGAAGATTTGTCCTCTGAATGGAGAAAGTGGTGTGAAGAGCTACCTCAAATGGCTGAATTCTCCATCTCTCGTTACCTTTTCATGCACTCGAACATTAATGTCGAAAATCTCGAACTACATTGCTTTTCAGATGCAAGTGTCAAAGCCTATGGTACAGTCGCATATTTACGTTTCACGACAGAAAATAAAGAAATCAAAACGGCCTTTGTCTCTTCTAAAAATAGGGTAGCCCCACTAAAATCCCTTACTTTACCGAGGTTAGAATTAATGGGGGCATTGTTATCAGTTAAGTTAGTCAGCAATATTCTGAAAGCACTGAAATTGAGAATTCCGTGCTATTTTTGGACAGACTCAACAATTACTTATTTTTGGATCCAGAAACAACCTGAAGCCTTCAAACCCTTTGTCAGGAATCGTGTCGAAGAAATACAAAAATTGAGTTCACCTCAAGATTGGCATTATTGCCCAGGTGTCGACAACCCTGCAGATCTCGTATCTCGGGGAACGAAGATTTCCAAGTTAATAAATGAGACCATTTGGACGCAAGGTCCCCAATGGCTTCAACTCCCTCACGAACTTTGGCCAAGATTAGATATTAAAGAAACAATAGATGAAAACAAGCTGGAATACCGAAAGGGATCCGGTGATATACATCAACTTGAATGTACAATCGAAAAAAGTGCAGATGATCTTTTCGACATATCAAAATATAGCAAATTAGAGAAGGTGTTGAGAGTCACTGCTTGCACAACACGTTTCATTAGAAAATTAAGAAAAACTAGCGACATTCAAGGAACTCTCACAGCTGAAGAGTTACAAGAAGCAGAAAATTTCTGGATAAGATCAGAGCAAAAGAAGTTTTTTGCCGAAGAATATAAATCCCTCAAAGAAGGTAATTCAGTTGGAAAAAATTCTCCTTTGTATAATTTTCTTCCTTACATTGATGAAAAGGAAATCATGAGGTTGAGAGGAAGACTGGAATTTTCTGACTTCTCACTAGATAATAAACATCCAATAATCTTACCTAAAAATTCTCGACTAACGATTCTGATTGTATGCAAAGAACATGAGAAGATAATGCATGGAGGAATTGCTGCGACTTGCAACTTTAGCTAAAGTCAGATCACGCTTCTGGATTCCTAAAGGACGACAGTTAGTCAAAAAAGCATTAAAAGGTTGTATAATTTGCCAAAAATATTTAGCTAAACCAGCAGACCAGATGACAGCACCCTTACCAAAGGATAGAATCCAAGAATCGCCTCCATTTGCAGTCTGTGGAATTGATTTCGCCGGACCAGTTTACGTAAAGAATTCTAAAGACATTCGAAAATCCTATATTGTTTTGTTCGTTTGTGCAGTAACCCGAGCTGTACACTTAGAACTTGTA